AGTGCTAGATATTAAAGTCCATACTAAAACTTAATATCTTAACCAAGGAAAATCTTCAATTGTTACAAAGCTACATGTATGTCATGTTAAGCGTGAAAACGATAAACGATACACTTCGTATCAAACTTAATTTCTAATCAGATGTAAGTCAATCTATTCGTTCATTCCCACGACGTCAATTATAGCGTAGATAATAAAGTCACGAGAGTGACTTGCGCCTAAGTCATGCAAGAACAATTTTAGCTGTCGACCATTTTAACTTAATAGCAGCCTTATGACCGATTACAAAAGCAATGAAATTATATGAACTATATGACGCGCATTTCACATTAACCCGGTTACGAATTGGCAGTGACAGTCAACGCAGCAAATATTGTATTGAACACGTGCTTGGTACGCAATTATCGCTAAAATTGATAACCGATGACTTTTTTGGCTATAGTGGCTATTTAATCGATTCGATCCACTTTTCTTAAAATTCAATTAAAAACGAAACAACTTAAAAATAATCCAAATGTTCCTTCAACAAAGTTCCAAAATTAACGTTTAACAATTTATTTCGAAAAATAATTCTTTTGCGAAATCCATTGGTTATTACTCCAATCATATCATCCTAAAATCAGAGTTATAAAAAGGCCTGTACCATCGGGATATTTTAAACATTTCTCAAAGTTTAGTACAGCAACACATTGTTTACTAAACTATTACAATATGAATGAGGACTCAATCCTGGTAACCTAAACGACAAAGTAATACGAATCCATTCCTAAAGCCAATGGCAGGTAGCGCAAAAAATCCCAGTATCGTAAGCAGGTAGAGAGATCTCAACAAAAACAACTTTAAAAACTTTAGAGGGATACACAAAAGAAAACTTTCTCTAAAGCCGAAGACCGTGTGACTGAAGGAAAAACAAGTTGATCCTTCGCTTAGCGCTACCCAGCTTTTGGAGGCGTCTCGACGAGAAAACCGTAGTTCAAGTTTCGAGTGCACAATTATAATCAAAGTATTCACGGGGAGCGTTCAGAACTCTATTCGACACGGCAAGCAGTCATAAAGGCGTACGGATCAAGTTTTTGAATGTGGCTCGCGGCAATTAGACACGGCGCAGGGCGCAAGGCGCAGACTAGGCGCGATCCGCGGCGCCCAACCGCCGCCGATCAATCGACTCCCCTCTCTGCTCCTTCTACCTTCATTTAATTAATTTATTGGGTTCGATCTGGGCCGGGCAGGACGTGCAAACGTATCCTATGATCAATTGTGGCGGCTAGCGGCCGGCGGCTTGCAATTAATCAGGCTGAGTACCCAGTCTGCCCGCACATTTTCTTCCATTAATTTCCCTCGCACGTACATCACTCTTGTGTTTCTTTATCAAATACCATTATTAGCTGTATGTAACAAAAAAACTATCTTAATTATTTGTAAGGATATATAAAGACACAAAACATGTTTCAAGTTGTTAGTTTGATCAATTTTTAGCACCAATACTAAACAATCAACTGTTATCGGTTCAGATTTTAAGAGACTGTGACACAGTCTTCTACAATGCATTTTAAATTTAGACTTACGTACCAAATAACTTATTTATTAGAAATATCGAAGTAATAGTATAAAGAAAAAAGGTCAAGAAGAAAAAAATCTATTTGATTTTACTCATCATGATTATAAAACAATGCCATAAGAACTATAGTTTTATAGTCATTTCTAGCCACGGATTGTTGCATGACATTTGTTGGCTGATGCTCGCGTTCTTCGCAGCTTTCTACAGCACCACAACCGTTCGTCACCGTGACACATTGTTGTAATTGTGTCTACTAACCTCACAAATGGTACCAAACCAGGTACATCGTACCAGTACTGAATTAATTATACCAATGAAATCCGGCACTCCACAAAAGGACAGAAGTAAATCGAAATGTTAATGTTAAACGAGTTCTTATTTGCATTCACGAACTAGCGAGGAGGGAAGGTGAGCCGGCGGAGCCCGGGCCGGGTTTTAGGGCTCTCGAGCGGCGATCGACGAGGTCTCGGAATAATCAGACTTGCCTCCCCTCGTCGCGGTCGTTCACACACAATCGACGCGCCGAACGCCATCAGGGCCCTGCCTACGCACGACGAGTCCGCACAAAGAGTCCACCCAGACCCCGCGACCGGCGACCGCAACCCTCGCAGTACACACACCGCTACACAACATCTACTTACTCGATATTTTAAAAACTAGACCCTAACAAGTCATCGGAAGGTTTAAAATTAATTACATTTATTACACGCAGGCGCTGCAGACGTCTCGATCGCCGATATCGTGCTACGACTTGCGAAAACCTACTTCAACGAACGGCAATAAAGTGCAAAATTGCATGATGTCAAGAAACATCAGGGTGCGCAATGTGCACTCGATTGCGGAATACATGAATATTGAAAAGCACTCTTATGTCTGTTAACGCTGAATCGAATACACGTCAACGGCGGATGCAAACAAACGCCACGTGTTTACAGAGGGCAGCTAGTAACTGTAGATTAGAAATAGTAAGCCCCAACTTTTGAGCACATGTTGTAAACTTAGATCGCGAGCGTGCAATATGCTCAATGTTTTCATATCTTAATAAAATCCGATAAGCAACTTCAAAAAGTTATTTTAAATATTAAAATGATTTTACAAAAAGTTATTCCATTTGCCAAAACACTTTCGCACTCGAGTTAATTAGTACGATAACGTTTAGTGTAGATTTGTCAATTCTAAAGCTACATTAAGAGGCTTGCTGGCCGCTAAAGTGTCTCTAAGACAAGCAGTGTTGGCTTCAATTAAATATTAAATTGTGTCGGCAAATTAAAAACTTATCGCTCGTTTCGATTTAACGAAGTCATTTCGTTTCTGAAAGCGACGTTATTGACTTGATTGAGAGAAGTGTTATAGTCGAAAATACGGCCCTACTTCACCGTTACCTGTTCTTGTTATTTACAGGTTTCAATAAAAACAAGCTTAAGGACGACGTGAAATTTAATACCTATTAAGATACTGGGCTTATATAAATCAAAATTAATGTTTGTACTCGATGCGTTTTAAACCAATAGAGAAGAGATTTTTATGAAACTGTGTTGCTGCATCGCAAAAAGGTTTATCCTAAAAATTAAAAAACATTTTTTTAAATCAAACTGTTCTAACTTTTTGCTCTGTGACAATTTTGATTTTCAGACTCTAACTTCATTCTTATTATTTTAATTCAGTTATAACTATGTAATTTAATTCCAAAAGTCACAATTCTTTTCACGATTTGATTTATTGGGCTATAATAATTTTAAATATTTAAAACGGGTCGACGGCATCAACTATAAAACCTACAATAAAATATATTTGGCACCTATTCAAATAGGTTTAGAATCACATATAACCATTATAAAAAGTCTTAAAATTTAACGATTAACGGACATGGTGTGCAGAAAAAAAATTAGATTCTATAAGTAAATAACGGGGTTCATTGGCCGTTTTTGTTTCGTCATTAATCCATAGACAAAAGCTAAGTTTTTCTATAACAATTTACACGAAAAACACCTAACAAATGACAGTTTCAAACTACGTCATGGCAACGTCATTTTAACCACATGAACAATATCTGTACCATCATACTAATCATACTTCATACTAATATTATAAATGCGAAAGTTTAGATCGATGGATGGATGGATATTGGTTAGAGTTTGTAGCCTAAACAGCTGAACGGATTTCGATGAAATTTGGCATAGATCAAGGATAATCTGGGAGAACACATAGGTTACTGACTTTTGTTTTATTTATTCTACGTGGACGGAGTCTCGGGCGAAAGCTAGTTTGATTATAATGTTTTAGTTGGTATTTTAATGAGAAATGCTAATTAGTAGTTGTTATAAAGTGGGCAAAGGCAACGGTATCATGGCTGCATTGTTTAATACGACAATGAGCGTTGTTCTCGCGCCAAACACCATGCCTCTAGCCATAAAGTATACTTCTATTACAATTAATATTTATTAAATATGCTACATTACTTTTATGTAAACTAAACTAATAGTGCATTATATTTATTAAATGTTACATTTTTGGTACACTTTTATACTTTTTGTTATCCTATCTAAAAAAATTAAGGAATTAAAAACATACATGCATAATTAAAGTCAATATTGTTATAAAAGTTTTATGAACAAAACATTCAGCAAATTAGAAAAATGCAATTGTGTGGAAAATCAATAAAAATGCTTAAAAAGAGATTATAAGATTTTGTATATCAGAAGAAAAAAAATAGTACACAGTATTATGCAAAAAAAACTAAAGTTATTGCTCAAATACATTATTTGTACTACAGTAAATGTCTGGTCTTTCATCAAGATGTGTTAATAAAGATAAGTAAATTAAATAATCAATAGAAGAAAAACACAAAAAAATCATATAAAAGCATTTCTGTGAGATATGAATTGAGGATGCACAAGAAATCCTTTTTCATGGAAATGTTTTAATGCGACATATTTCTATTCAAAAATAAAATGTGGTTCGGACCAGTCAATTACTCAATATAAAATATTCACATCAATACTATACTGTAACACTATTTAAAATGTTTTAAAATACAATCTAACTAATAAAGTAATGAGATAATTCAATTCTGGCATTATCTAGATGAGTGGAAGACATTTATGAGTAAACACTTCTGTTGTCAAAGCCTTTTATCTCTACACATGGTATTTACTAAATTATCAACTGAATTTGGTAAAATGACAAATATTTATTATAATTTAACACTTATATAGTTTTTATACTTGTTAGGTGTTAAAAAATTTAAGGATAAATCGTAATTTTAATACAAAATCTAGTAACTAAACCGAATAACAAAGTTTTGATAAAGTTAGATATAACTACTTTATTTAGCTAATATTTTTCAAATTGTAAGAAACAAATATGGCAAAGATAGTGACAAGTAAATTAACGGTAGAAATATCATGCAAAAAAAGAGACTAAAAGTTTGAAACAAACTTACCATACGACACCGAAGGCACCGTAGCCGATGGGGCGGTCAGGCTGCACGTCGGTGGGTATGGCCG